AGGGCTGATTTTGGGGAGGGGGGTTGTTGTTGAAGCAGGACCCCAGTCATTTTGTAGGGCTGATTTTGGGAAGGGGGGTTATGGTTGAGTTAGGACCCCAGTCATTTTGGAGAGCTGATTGTGGGGGGTCGTTGTTGAAACAGGACCCTAGTTATTTTGAAGGGATGATTTGGCGGGGGGGGGGGGGGTCATGGTTGAGGCAGGACCCCAGTCTTTTCAGAAGGCTGATTTTTTGGGGGGGTCGCTGTTGAAGCCGAACCCTAGTAATTTCGAAGGGATGAGTAGGTGGGGGTCGTGGTTGAGGCTGGACCCGGGTTATTTTGAAGGGCTACTTGTGTGTGTGTGGGGGGGAGAAGGGTCGTGTTGAACCGGGCTGACCCTCGGGTAGACACCTTGAAGCCACTCGCTCCCGCACAGGGCGACTGTGCCGCCCTTGGGGGGTCCAGCCAGACGCGGCCCTTCTCCCCTCCGCCCTGCCGCGCGGCTATGCGCGAGGGAGGGAGGCGGCGAGGAGCCCGCCGCGCCGGGCCGGGCCGCGCTGGGGGAAGCACCAGAAAGGCAAGGAGGAGCCGCGCTCCTCTCCGCTCATGTGACCGGCGGCGGTTCCCGCTCGGGGCTGCCCAGAAATAGCTGTGGTCGCTTTTCCGCTGCCGGGGACTGGGAGCCGGGCCTGACTCCGGCCGAGGATGCGAAGCGGCTGCTGCCCGAGCAGATGATGGCGATACGCGAGCTGAAAGTGTGTCTGCTCGGAGTGAGTACCGCGGGCCGGGCCGGGGCGCGCGGGGACGAGACCGGCCCGCCGGGAAGTTTGCGGAGGCGGCGCCTCTGTCCCGGGATGCGGGCGGCTGCGGGGCCGGAGCTGCTGCTCTGCCCTCCCCGGGGCGCCGCTTTCCCGCCGGCCTCCCTGCGCCTCGCTCCCTCCCCCGGGCCCTTTCCCCCCGGGTTTCCTGGGAGAGCCAAGGCTCCCGCTCCCGCATCCACGGGCTGGTGACACACACACGCACACTCTCTCTCTGTCCCTACCCAGACACTTTGTCTGCACACAAGCGCATGCTCTCCATGTCAGTTGGCACACGTATGTGCACACACTTTGTCCACACACGCGCCCACTCTGCACGGGCACATGCATACACCCTGTTTGCACACTCACCCTCTCTGTCCACACACGCACGCACGCAAGTGCACACATATGCACAGACCCTTGCCCTCCCTCCCACTCTCTCTCTCTCCCTGTTGAGACGCACAGTCTCTCTGCATGCTCACACTCTCTCTCCCCCTCTCTGATCAGGCCTTTTAGGGGCTGTTGTTTTTAGTCCACCCGTTTTAATGCTAACACGATTGCCACACCACTCGCTAGCTGTGCAGCAGCTGCAAGGAAGTTGGCTGCACAAAGAGGTCACAACAGCTAGGAGAATAGTCCCAACTTGGCTGAACTGGGGCACGCGTCTTCCTTTATTCACTGCATGGCCCTGGGACATTCCTCCAAGCTGAAACTTGGCCTCCGACCCACCAGCCGGCGGCAGGGGAGAGAGTGGGCTGGAATGGTTTATTCTGTTTAACAGGAGACCAACTTGACTGTGGAAATAAGATGCTGCTTTTGGGGTTAGGGAGGAAAAACTTCCCCCCGCCCACTAGCATATTATCATGGATGACTTGAAGAGAAAGGATCTTTTTGTTTGCTTTTCTTTTGCCTTGCTCGTCTTTAACCGTGAAAATGAGCCTTAGTCAGCTTTGTATCCCCCAGTGTTTTCTATTTGGTCACAAGCCGGTTACAAGATAGTAAACAGTGGAAGGGATTTATTTTTAATAATCACGTTTTAATTTATATGTGGAAAGAGCATAACATCACTGATGGGGCCTGTCAGCTCTGACAGTTGGCTTCAATGCCTTGATTATCCAGTCCATAATACTTGCTATGTACAAGTGATTTTTGTGCGGTGTGTGTGCAGTACACATCACAAGTAGAGTGTGAGTCTGTCAGCTTTGCTTTGGCACAAATGGAGTAGGCTCTTGCCTATGAAAGCTTCTACCTCTGAATGTGTTAGTCTAAGGGCACAGATAGAAATTACATTCATTGCACAATTGGCCCCTTGAATGCGCTGTACAGCTGTGCCCTTACAGAAGGGCATGGCTGCAGGGCACTTTTAAAGTGCCCGATTGCGTGAAAATCTGAACCCTTGTTACACGAGGGCTCAGATGAAGGGGCTGCAAAGCAGAGTGCCTTGACTGATGTCTGTCAGGGCACGCTGGGAGTCCCGCCCCGGTGCTTTCTTCAGAATGGGAAGGGGAGAAGGGAGGGAGTTCTATCTGGGGTTTGCCCAGCCTGTGTGGGAGGGTGGGACAGGGGATTGGAACCCCTTTTATGTTGGGGTGGGGGTCTCCAATCCATCCACCTCACCCTCCAGTGCAGGCTGAGCAAACCCCAGACCAAGCTCCCTTGCCTGCCATCACCTCCCCTTGCTTCCCTTCCCCTCCTAGTCTGAAAACAGCACTGGAGCTGGGAGTTGGGGCGGGGAGGAGGGAGAGAGGGGTTGCTAGAGGAGAGCAGCTGCAGATATGCAGTTGCTCCAAACTGGAGCTCAATCCCTGCCCCCCCCCAACAGCAAACATCTGGGGGGAAATGCTGTAACTCATGGCGCTTCCCAGGGAGTGCCATGAGCATCTGTCAGCGCCCTAAGGTGCCTCCACTACCTTTTGCTTGACATCAGGCTAGCTCAGCTAATTACCTGTCAGTACTGCTTTGTGCTTCAAGCTTCTGTTGCTACAGACCAGAGTGAATAGAGAATTTTCAGAACCTCTTACACTGTAAGCCATGCCTACAATACTGAAACTTGGAGAATAGCTTGTCTTTGTTACCATTGCTTTAGATAAGCCAATGGTAACAGCAGTGAGAGAGTTTTCAAATTTGTCCTTAATGTAGAAATGACATGTCTTATTTCATATGATCCCTTGTTTCAGCTTCTGTACACCCAATCAAGTTTTGATTAGTGTTTGTTCCATGCTTTTGTGTAATGCTTTCAGTGGAGTTACCAAAACATGGTCCAATGAAGTCTTCGTAGGAATTTCATTTTGTATAATGCTAACTGATTTTTGCTATTTTTTTGTTTTGTTTTCCTCTTTAGCAGCACTTTTTTTAGCATCTGCAACAATAATGTGCTTAGCTTTGTATTATGACTCCACTTCCCTCGTTTGTGCCATGCCTGAAAGGAACTATGTCCAAATGTACTGGTGAAACTTCTCTAAAAATATTACTTTAATAAAACATGCATTAAAATATTTTCAGGGTCTCTATCATAATGTTTCGTGTAAGTTTAAAAAACTGAATGTGTCATGTCATATGCCCTTTATTTCTCTCTGAAAAGTCTTTGTAAACTAAGTTGAGGACAGTGACCTCTCTTTCATGCAGTATAAGTGAGTTGCTAGTTAAAAAAAACCCACATTCGTCAGATTTTTCAGTGTCCTATACTTTGCTGGCACATACCCTAGTATAAGTGGGTACTTTGCCCTGTAGTAAAAGCCAACCCGCAGTGCAGGTCCGAAGCATTTGGTCCAAAGCATTTGGCAATAAATATTCTTTCCTCCTCAGTAAAAAGCCTTGCATTCATCTTTAAAATGGTATAACTATAAAAGTAAATGCACATTAGTGAAACCTGAGAGCTCAATGGAAAAGAAAATATGTAGATGTTGCTTGTTCTTCACAAATAGAAAGTCTTGTGATTTTAAGAGGTAGGAGGAGTTTTGTGAAATTATACTCCTCTTGCACTGAAGTTGTTGCCGTTTTGCAACAATAAATGTACAAGAGGTCTGTGTGGGAATGGTTTGAGTGTACCTTCCCCTACCCCCTCCAAAAGATATGTAAAGGAAAAGAACACAGAGAACAGCTATATGTTATATGACTATGCAACTATCCAGAATGTTACAAATCATAGAGTGGCAGAGGAATCTTTTAGGAAGATACCAAGAGCTATAGTTATACTAACCTAGTACTTAGTGAGAGGAGGTTCCTGAGCTTCAATGCAGTATAATCCTAGAAAACCATCCGCTTCTAATCACAGTAATTCAATTTACCAAGGAGGTTGGTAGTCAGTTTTTCCAAAACCACTATATCCTTCATCTGACAAATCTACTGACCAACTTCAGGGACAGAGTTCCAGAACTGGACAGCTGAGTGCTTGTCAGGGTAGACAAGTTCAGTCATTCATTTTCTGGTCTTTTTAAAACAGCTGTCCACAAGATGCTAATGTAAAAACAAACCTTCAGCTATAATAATAGGAAACTTTTGTTACCTTTACCTTTTAGTAGTTTCTAGACCCAATTTCAGAACTTTGCAAAACAATATAAGTCTATTAGCAATATACTCAGAAGATCTCCTTGTAATCAATAAAATCTGAGACATCTAGATTGTGTGACATAGGCAAATCCTTTTGTTTGTAAGAAATTGAGATTCTGGGGGCGCATCTACCCGAGATTCTATGGTGCTGTAGTGTCAGTGGGCACAAACTGTGATGCCGATGAGACTGTGCACTAGCAACAAGCTGCTTGCTTTAGCAAGTACTAGATGACTGCGTAGTAACAAGTGGGTAGTTGGGTGCACGTGTAGATGCGCCCTGGGAGTATCAAGTTTGATCCTAAATCTATCTACTTCCTCCATTTGTGAGTAAAGCTCTGGCTTCCATTTCTCAGTCAGGCAGGAGGGTCCTCTCTCTCTCATTCCCACCCAGTTTCCATTACAGTCTATAGGCCTGAGCTGTGCAGAGGGACAGGAATCTGTCTGTATTTGCCGACTCAAAAATTTGCCACTGGAGAACTCTCAGCTCAAACAAAGCTTGGGCAGGGCAAACAATTGAAACTCCACTGAAGCATGAATAAGGCATGCACCCCTCTGCCATTTCTCCTGCTGCTGACCCTGGAGGACCCAAAACTTCTATTGTAAACTAGAGCAGCATTCCAAGCCTGGGGCTCAGTGGCATCTAGTGACTGAGGAATGGGGAACTGTAACTGGGGGTTTTTATGCCTCCTATGCTGTGCTAAGCCCAGGAGTGCATCTGGCCCAGTGTCCTTGACTTGTACAGACTGAAGCAAGGTGACCAAGTAGAGGGTCACTCATGAGGCACAAGTGGCTCCAAGGTAGTTCCATTGTGGCTGCTAGTGAAAAACAGGGTGATGTACACAAAGGTGGAGTTGCAGTGCAGGAAGCATAGTAGTGTTTGTCACCAGTAAGCTCTTAGGCATATACAACACAAAGTTTGCCCACCCTGTACTGAAGGCTGGATTTCAGGCCTAAGCTATATTTCTCTTTTTACTCCTAAAATGTGTGTAGCTCTTTTTTTTCTTTTAAACCCTGGATGGATGTGAAGGAAAGGCAGGCTCTCTGTCTGCATACAAACCTCGGGGAAGCCTATAGTACTGTGCTTAAAAGTAACAGGAGAAATCTTCCTCCTTTTATGAGGTGGGGTTCATAAACTTTAGACAGCATTGTAAGATGATTATGTGCTATCAGAACATATACCACCATATGATACCTAGTGGAGCATGGTACTTTGAACAGAATAGGAGAAGAATGAAAGGGAACCTCATAGCAGTCCCTTTTCATATGAGGAGCTGATGGCCTTACAAAACATGGTGGGGTTTTTTTGTTTTTGTTTTTTTCAGGATTCAGTATAGTAAATTAATTTGAAGGGAAGTGGTTTTTGCTTTTTGGTGTACTGGCAAAAAGTTGAAGCTAGCTTGTAAGGCACAGAGCAGCTAGTT